GTTCCCTTGGATACAGCTTTTTCTCAGGCGTATTGGGTAGGTGAGTGAGAATCCCCACCCCCCACCTTTTCACCTCTTTTTCCCCTTTCCCCTTTTCAACCCTGACCGCCCAAGTGCTAAGCAATTTTTTCAGTTTTACCTTTAGAGGCATTTTATTTCTTACAACAAAAGTAGAAGTAGTACCCTTGCCTTTGTATGTTCTATTGTTTTGGTATGTAATATTTAATAAATTCTCTATTGAAGGAAATTGTCAACTAATAAAACTTTTTAACATATATTCAATTTTTAATCTCTAAAGGATGTCAGGATGATATGGGCTATATAAGAATTCACTGTACAAAATTTTATGGAATTGAATAATATCACAGTCGTCCTATATCTATCAACTAACTAAAAGCAATTGCAGTCAATGTCTAGGCTGATACTCTGATAGATGACAAGTTACCGGTGTGCGTTATGGTGTTCCTCCTTCTCCTTGGACATTAGCTTACGTCGCTTCAAATGGGAAAAACAAGACGATATTACTTAATGGTCGTGGCTGAAGAAATAAATTCACTTGAAAGCAGCATTGTACACACCTTCATGGCACCGCCACTGGACAAGATAGGAGACACACTTTCATTAGTAAACCGGATTGGAGGTGGGCTGCTATCATCAGTCTTCTTCAAACAGGCCAGTGCAGTAATTAAATCGTCCTTCTCGCAATCAGAACACACTGGTTTATCCCTCGTCAGAAAACTTTCTGAAGTTAAATGTACACTTTCAAGTCCATGTGGTGTCTTCAGCAGAGCATGTCGGTAGATCAAGCAGTGTGTTTTTATATAGACTATCTCCTTCTCTAAATCCGTAATTCTTCTTTGCAAATTAGCCTGTATCTAAATCAATACATTTTCCGTGAGGCCTCGTGTGCAGCATTGGTTTTATTCATAGGTAGGGTAAAACTTACGCTATGGGCGCCATCAAACTCTGAGTTTCTTGATTGGAGAACCACCGATCGTCGTGCCCCGTGTACGTGTCCTCCATAGCAACTTGGTGCGAATGTTACAAGTTTGAAATACTGAAGGTGTGACAGAGGGACATAACCCCCAGAGAGCGAGGAGCTAAGCAAACAAGCAGACGACACAAGACTACTTTGCTGCCAACATGATAGCGAGAACTTCATAGTGCCATTTACTTCGCGGTACAGTTTTTAACCACGGCTGCTGAGAGCGCGGATCGCGGACTTAACCTGCCTCTGTTTATGCTTCTTACAGCTACTTTTCGCTGGTCTTGTGGGTCTCGTCCTGCTGGGATGCTGCAGAAAGGACTATCCGGGTCGGCCGTTCTCCTGCTGTTTGTTTAGCTTAAAGGTACGCTTTGCTCAACTGACTGCAAATTCGCGCTTTCAAAAAGTAAGAGAAACTCTCAGACATCAACTGATTTATTTCTTAGCAGATACAAACGTTTTTATTTAGAACAATTTGAATTGCTGACGTATTTGTTAGTTTTTGTGTGTCTTTTGTCAGTACCTTTCTGATAAAAAATGGAATCTCAATAGTTTTATCAAGATTTCTGCCTTGAAGTGGAAGACGAGGATAAGTTGACTTACCACCTTGACCTTTTGATAACCTGTCACTGTTGTTTTTTGGCTGAGCGATAGCGAAGCCTATTACTCCAGTGATGATCAAAAAGTTTCGCGTCTGTTTGTTTGTTTGTTTGTTTGTCTGTCTGTCTGTAAGCACGATTACTCGAGAACGGTTTGAGCTAGAAGGCTCAAATTTTTATTGTAACTTTGTATCATAAAAAGCAAGAACTGTATTGATTTTGAGCCCTCTAGCTTAAAAATTGACCTGTCAACAAAATCAAAAACGAAAAACCCTTAATATTACTTTTAAAAAAGATTTTTTTTTACATCTTTCTAACACGTAACTCGTCAAAGTAGAACCCTCCGGGCTAAAATTTTGTCCGTTTGGCTCTATCTCCCACCGTTTAGTCACCAGAGGGCGATTTCCACACGAAAATGACCCCAAATCGCCCCAAATCATTTTAATATTGTTTCTCAGATATTTGATGGTCTCTGACGGGGCAACTCGTCAAAATAAAATCCTGGGGGTAAAATTTGTGTTCTTTGGAGCCGAAGGCCTATCTACGATTCTGCATTTTGCCCGACTCGGGTGTCAGCGCCGCAGGCCTAGGTAGATGTATGCCAGGCGCGTCGCAGCGTAACAGTGTTTCGTGAGATATCGCGAAGCCTGTTACGCGAGACGTGGTCTGGCGTAC